CGGCAGCGGCGGGAGCGGCGGCCGCCGTGCGCTCGGCGCGCAGCCGAAGCGGGCGCGGGCGCGGGGACGGAGCGGGAGCGCCTGGAGGCGCGGGGCAGCTGGACATCGAATTGGTGAAACTCGGCTCGCGGTCTGTGCCGTGTTTTGGTGTTTCCTTGCGGAATGCCGGTGTATTTCAGCCTCCCGTGGGGTTTTTAGAGCTCTGATACGTGTTCATGTAGTTTCATGTAGTTTAAATAGACTTAAATGGAAGTAAGACAGACCGAAGTGGGTTTATTGAAATACGGTTTTAAGGCATAGCCCCCGAAGGCTCATTTTGGCACCAGAATTAACAGCAGTCCTTTGCTTTTCAAGCACTACTTGTTTTGTTTTCATTAAACCCTACTAACTGTTCTGCAACATCCGAAAAATACTTCGTTCCTCTTGACGTGCTGTTAAGGTAAAGCAAGACAGAGTCAAAGAAATGTACGTGAATGTTTCCGGATATCCCAGACCTCAGTTATTTAAGTGTATATCTCTATGTATAAGCAGGTGCTTATACGGTGCAGGCTGGCCCCGGAAACGGGGTAAGTCCAGCTTTATGGCATAGGTACCTGGGCTTTTTTCCTCAGAAAGTCCTAGCGCTAATTCCACGTTTCTCCTTGCACAGCACCGAGGGCGACCGGAGATTCCCTGCCACTCATCTCGCCAGATAAACTTTCCTTGGTTATTTTAGACGCTACTGCATGCCCGGTTTTCCGAGTGCTTATTTCCAGGATTAGTTCTTCTTCCCGCCCCGTGGGACGGAGGTGGGAGCCGTGGCGTTAGCAGTGCTTTGCCGGGGCGGGTTTTGCTCCCGCGCTACAGCCTGATCCCGCAGGAACCGGGGCGTTCGGAGGGACTTTGCAGCTGAAGGAGCAGGACGTTGTATTTGAGCCGTGATTAAATCTAGGCTTCCTCATGCATTATGCACTTGGACACAAGTCACTAACGTATGAGACGTGCAGCAAATTTATATATATATATAGAGAGAGAGATGCAGATCTGACCTAGGGGGCCTGAAGTGCTGAGTGCTTATGAACTTTCTTAGGTATAAATTAGGTCCGGAGTGCCTTTTTGAGCTCGGTTTTGTGGTTTCTGCGGCGTTTCCGTCGAGGGGACGTGCTCTGCTGGTGCTGCGGACACCCCCACTCGAGAGCAGGCAGCGCGTCGCGGCGCTGGTTTGTGTGGTGACGGGGCAGAACTGCTCCGTGGGAATAGGAATTCTTAGGCTTCAGGGAGTAATGGAAGGTGCTTTGGGTAAGGAATTAACGCTAGGAAAGGTTTTCTGTTCCCTGTTTTGTATGAGTTTTAGGATGAACAAACATTTCCCTGTTTGGACCCTCCCCAAACCACACGGCATTTTGAAGTATTTTGCCCTGGGTCCTTAAGAGGAGTGCTGAACATGTTAAACTATTATTATTATTAATTATTTATCTTTCTGAACTAGCACGTGTTTTATAAGTCATGCAGGGACCAAAAGTGCTCAGAATATCTTGACAATATATTCAGGGTTTTTAAAAGAAAAAAAAATAGAACTGCCATAGAAAACAGAACTGGAAAAAAAAAACCCCAGAATTATTGGTTTCAGGGATCTGTATTGTTGATATAGCCCAAAATTCCGGTGAGGGCACCAAAAGTTTTGAGAAAGCAGAGAATATAAAATCACACTGGGGACTGAACCGAATAAGCTAAGCCTTTTTACAGTTCCAAAAATAACATGTATCTAAAGCTTCTATCAAAGAAAAACACGAACAAATCACTCCCTTTTAAAATGTCTTTTAACACTCTATAAAAGTCCCAAAGAATGAAAATCCCGTGTTCTTTTTGTAAACTGGGAAACTGTGGTCCGTGGCTGCAGAGAGGCCGCGTGGGACGGGACTCTTGATCTGAGACATCTGCTCCGGGCGCCTTTCCCTTTGGAAGGAGCCCTGCAGCCACGGAGTTTTATCAGCCAGTTTCCATACCCGTATTTTACAAGTTTTGAGAGAGCAGGTTTGATCATTTCAAGTGTTTATCTCTCTATATCTTTTAAGCGCTTCTCCAAAGTTATTCTAAGGGGAAAAACTGAGCAAAAGGGACCCCCAAACTTCTCGCCGTGCTGCCAGGCCCTGTGCAAGGGCAGTTTCTGCTCATCGCTCCGGAGTTTGGTCCCTCTCCTTGTACTCTAGCGGCTGCGTGTCGCTGTCTTTGGGTAAATTAGAGGATTTGGCAGTTTTCCTCAGTAAGATCATGCTGAGAGGGTGGGATGCAGCGTGTCGTGGCACGGGGGAGGCGGCAAGAGCCCCATCCTGGACCTGGTTTCCAGAAGAGCTGCCCCACAGCAGCTCCAGTGGCCTCGCTGGCAGGTGCTCGTTACTCGGATCCCTGGAAACGCTTTCCAAGAAGTTTCCAACTTCTTTTCAGGTACCTGGCCCTGGAGCAGGCTGGCAGTAAGTGCTGTACAGCCTGCGTGTGTTCCCTGGGATGTGTGGTGGGAATCCGGCACGCTGCTTTCTCTTGGTATTTTGATTAATATAGAGAGATATGAAAGTGAAAAGCACAGTGAAAGAAATAATATGAGCATGAGTGAGATGTTTTCCTTGCCAAATGTGCAGAAAAATTGAGTTTACTGGATTTTGCCTACAGGAATGGAATAGAATATAGTACAGTACATGTAACAAAATACGCCAAACAGTTAGAAAAAGAATGTCTTAAAAATAAATAGGTCTTGTAGTGCTCAGCATCTTTTCTACAGCATAGATGAGGCTTCTCTTTCTCAGACACTGGGTACTTTACATTTTAATGCGTTTTTCCTCACCCTGTGCCAGTGGGATGGGAGACGCCTTCTGCATTGCCAAGAGGAGGGAAGAGGGCAAAAGAAGGAACTTGCCTCAAGTAACAGAGGAGCTGTGAGCAAATGAGTAGGAATGCAGGGAAAGGGAACCAAGCCTAACTCTGCAGGCCGGCTCTCCGGAGCAGCGTCATTTTTTCTCCTCAATGCAATAATAATGTTAATTGTGTCATCCAACACTCTTATTTTAGCCAGTGTATTTTATTCCCAACTGCTGGGGAAACCTGCGTTTAATTCCTGATAAAAAGATGCTTGAGTTACTGGAGTTAAGTGGTTTACTTGGTCTTGGGCCCCCTAATAGTGAGTAGATCTTGCTCCAATGTGTGCTCACTATTTATTGCTTGCAAGCTGGCTGGCAGCCAGGCTGTGTCCTGAAGTGACATGTAGCCCTGTAGCTCTCACTGAAACCACAGGCAGAAGATTTTCTGCTAGCTTGAGATTTTCCCTAGTCCTGGGACCCGTTTCCCTAAATCAATTAACTTGTTGCCTAACCAGTCTAAAGACCCTGCTGTTCTGCAGGTGTTTTCTGGGGAAAGAAGGTTTCTTGTGGGCAGAGTGTTGGCTGGGCAGTGCCCTCTCCTCTGGCAAAACCAGCTGCACCCTCTGTGAGAAGGGAAGAGGCCTGTGGAAATGGTGCTTAGTCACGTCTTGAGTCAATATTTTCAGTGGTGTGGACTGCGGGACATCATTTCCCTCGTGAAGGTGCCTTTTCCTGGCATTTTTTCATGTAATTCTGTTATTTGCTATGTACTGTTGAGGTCTTTACATCTTCCTCAAGAGCCCTGGGCAATTTGGTGTGCTTTGTTAAAGCCTCAGCTCCTGGAATCCGGTACTAAGTGAAAAATCTCAGATTTCACCCTGGAAAAATATATTCCAGCTCCTTAATGAGTATCGTTACTTACCCAAGTGAACACTTGAAACCACTTGGAACAGGAGGGGAAAAAAAACCCACGTTGTTTTTCATCTAAGTGTGTTTTAGCCAGTCTTGACCCTTCAGGCTGGTTGGAGCTAGTCGTCCCGCAGCAGATACACTGGCAGTGCTCGGGTAGGATCCGTGTCGTGCGGCCGGGACCGGAGCAGTTTGGCCTGTGGTGGCTTTGCACTGGGCTTGCAGCAGCGAGCAGCCCGCCAAGAGCCCTCCTGCTGCACGTGGCCCTGTTTCAGGCTTGTTGGAGGAAACTGTTTAGATCTAAACAACCTGCGACTTGCTGAAACGCAAGGAAAACAGTGCCTTTGTGGCTGGTTTCTCTCGTTGCTGTTTTCACCGTGTCCCTCCCGCAGCACCGACTGCATTAGCTGCCTTCCAAAGCTGGGTCTTGCCTAACCCGTTGTCCACATACCCTGTCCAGTCCAAGGGCACCACAGAGAGAGGCACTTCCAGAGGTGGCCTGGACTGTCGCCTTAGACCTCTCTTTCTTCAGACCCTCTCGGAGGCCTGAACCTTTGTGTGGCCTTGCACAAGTCTCGTGTCCCCATCGCCGAGAGCCGGCGGGTGTCGGCGGTGGCCGTTTTCCGGTGACAACTTGGTGGGTGGAAAAGTTCCCGAGTTTCTGGCCCTTCCTTCAGGGCTGGAGCGCAGGCACCGCTGCAGAGAGCTGCTGCCTTGGGCTTAGCCTCAGCTCGAGGTTTTTGAGGGCTGTTTTCACACAGCCCTGAGCCCTCTAGCATTTTACCCATCTCCGTTGTGAGGTACTTAGGAATTTGCTCTCAAAATGGGGGAGAATGGGCAGGAAATCTTACCATCCTGTACATAAAAAGTACAACTTTTTAGCACGGAAGGATTTTTGAGCTTAGACCATCTTAAGACTCGTGGTGTATTTTAAAATACCGGTGGCTGAACCAATCCCTGAGTTTTGAGTTTTAGCACTGGAGGAGCTTGAGTTTGACTTGCATGTTTAGTATCCATTAATAGTGTGCTCGTAAAATGTGAAATCTCAAAGCTGAATGTAAAAGAGAATTATTACTAAAATTTTGTAAGCAGCTGCAGCATCAAGGAATTTACCTTGTGCTAAAATGTGAAAATAAATTATTGGTTTCATTTTAGATATTTCATCCTCTTATGTTTATGACATGATAAATTTTTTTTAAAGCATGGAGTACTTGCTTTATAGTACAATTTTTGGAGTGCCAAAAGGCATTTCTATCATAGTCCAGTATCTCATTTTCATGCAACTGAGGCCAAGCCTGCAAAATCTCAGTGCTTTGTGAGGCACCTAGTACCACACAGCCTCTGTGTTTGGGAGATGGAATTGCTGAGCAGAAAAAGGAGCATCTGAATATGAATTATTAGGATTTGGCCCATGGATAATGCTTAAACCACATGGCCTGGAGCAAACTCTACTTTTAGGTTAGTGCGTGCTTCCTTCTGACCAGTAAATACCAAGCTCATGATCTGAGAGGTCAGAAATTTTCAGCCCTATGTAAACAGCGAAGTGTTCTCCCTAGATGTTGAGCAGTAAATCTCAGTGCAGTGGCCGTGATGCATGTGCCCACAAAATTAAAGCATAGCCAAGGTCAGAATTCCAAGCACATTGTGCGGGATTTTGAACACTTCAGGCGTGTTTAGAGGTGCCCTGGCACCTTGCTCTGCGCGGGGCTCCCGGGGCCGCCCGCGGCGCCGCCTCTTGCTAGGGGCACGCTGCAGTTTCTAGGCTGGATGCTATGCCATGGATTTAGGGAGATGCAATGCCGTTGCTTATCCCACAGGATGTGGAGTGAGTCCATCTTCAGATGTTGCCCCGGGAACCGCGTGGTTTGGATCAGTGTGAGGGTGTCTTCTGCACCTTCTTTCTTAAACACGCGTCCTCTCCTGGAGGCAAACTCCCATGCAGGCTGCAAACATAGCAGGGAACTAAGCCAAAAGCCCAAGAAAGACAAAAGCCAAATTCCCATCGGTTTGAGCAGACGTGTCGGATCTCCCTGTCCTTGTGGATCCGCACTGTTTCACCACCGCGCTGTACTAGAGCACCAAATCATTCACAGCAGCATCCGTGGAAATATGTGGCTTGTTTAGGGCTTTCTCAGCGAAAATTCAGGTCTTCAGTTCTGATGCCGACCCATCATCTTGTCTTTGTGCTTGCAGCTCTTGCATACAGGCTGAAATTCAGGGAATAGACAGGAACTTTCCCTGTTTCTCCGTGTTTAGGAGTGGGTTCTCCCTCTGACACAGCTCGTTCAATTTGTATTTACCCTGCTCTCTCTCCGGGCTGTGTCACATACCGTTATGTACTTCATGTTCTCAACTTCAACTTACAATTCATTGGTTCAGAAATTTCTATGGAAGTATTACCAAGGATCACCTAATTGAATGGGATGATTTTGCAGAGTTTTAAAAATCATTTTATTTTTTCATTGTGGAGCCTTCCTCAGCAAGTGGTGTGTTTAAATTCATGACAGCACTTGTTCAGCAAGGTATTTCAGCGTCAGGGTGGCAGAATATCCAGCCCTGCAGTTTGTGGAAAAGTTTCCATGAAGACCAACTCGATCATCTCATTGCGTTTTGTGTTTCTCTCTTAAAGGTTCAATATTTCTTGAAGTCCTCATTTGTTTGAGTGCAAGCGACAGCACAGGAGTACAAGCCAAAGGAGCAGGATTTATTTGTAGATGTGTTTTGATTTATAAGGGCTGTTTTCTAGGATGTTATGCCTCCTATAGCTGTTTAGAATAACTTTCTCGTATTCATGATGCTCGTTATGTAAGTAATGTGTTCAAACCTAATATTTAGTAAAAATCACAGTTGCAGCAGTTACAGAGGTAAGTTTCACACGGGCAGGGCTTCCCTGCCGTGACACATGTATGGTGAAAGTTTTGCATATTAGCATTTGAGCTATGTGTAGAGAGCAACCTTGCAAAAACATAAAGAGCAGCTCCTTGTTTCCCTTAAAAATATCCCTGCCTTGCAAGGAAGAGGCGCAAAGAGCTGGTGGGACGGGGCTGTAGGCAGTGCCAGTGTGTGCAGGACGCTGACGGCAGCGTCGCTGAGCTCTGTGCTTTCTTTGCAGCTCTCTGCAAGCAGTTCTTCGTGCGGGCGCCGCCGCTCTGCTCCGCGTGCTGCGGTGGGTCCTGTCAGCACCCGGCCTCCCCCACTGCTTTTCCAAGTAAGTTTTTATGCTTCATCAGTGATGCTTGAGTTGCTCTGTAAACCGGAGCAGCAGGATTTAATGCGGCCTGGAGAACTAATTGGTGATGCAATGGCAGCAGCTAATTCCGTAGTAAAATCACAGCCATCCTATTCAGGAGGTTTCCAAAGATTTATCAAACTTAAGTACACTGAGCAATTGTGAGAGGTTCCCAGTGGCACTGAGACGCCCAGACAGCACTAGCCCAGGAAAGCTCCTTGTTTGCAGCTTGCCTGAAAAGATTCTTTAAAAATCATTAACTCTTTTTAAAATCTGTGTCAATAAACGTTTGCAAATAGGAGAAGAAAAGAGCTGGGTAGATCATAAAGTGGATGCTGCTTTTTCTTGTCTGCTTGGCGTACGTCAAGACTCAGAAAGCAGTAACATTATTTAGATAAAACAGTCATACAGTCTTAGCAATCAAATGCATGCACATGTTTAAATTGATATTTTTTATTTACAATGTAAAAAATTGTAAATTTTTTGTAAATAAAGAGATTAATCAAAGAGAATTTGGGCCAGTATTATATGCTCAGGGTTGAGATCTGCAATACATTTCTTCTAAGCCATATTTAAATTTAACCTTGATCACCAAGTGTCTGGGCCACCATGTAGGAGTGATTATTCATGAGTTTAGATGTTTATGGCTCTAATACATAAGTTTGTGTAAACACAAGGAGAAATATATGTGAAAACAAAGCGAGGAGGCATTTCCTGGGCATCCAAAATGAAGCAAAAGGACCAAAACGCGTGTGAAATCCGACCGAGAAGTGGAGCTTACGTGTGCTGCAGCATCTACTTTCTTATCCCAGTTGCCTCCGAGCCCTTCCCGCCGGCGTGCGTGTGTTTTATGGACGCTTCGGAAGGGCAGTTGCTGAGCGGAATGCTTCCTGACAAGTGAGGCAGCAAATGCTGGCAGTTTAATGAGCTGCAAGTTCGTGAGCCCCTCTTTAGGGGGCCGACACTTTCCCACAGAGCGTCCTACGTGGCCCCGGCGCTCCCACAAAGGCTGACAGCACCGTGACCAATCCCCACTTTCACTTTACTCATCCACACGCGACCTCACCACAATTTTTCACTGTGCAGATGAACTTTAGGAACCATTTCGCGCTGAAAAGGCCTGGGCAAGGGTCATTTGCCCTTTTGTATGGCCATAAAGCAATACTCTGTGTGCCAGTCTTTTCTCCTGTCTCACATTCCAAGAGATTTTCTGGACACCATTTAAAGCACTTGACTGAAAAATAAAGCAGTGAATGAAGCTGACTTTTATAGACTCATTCTAGCTCATCTTCCCATATAACCCTGTCTACCTGAAAAGGGATTTAGTGGATGAGCTGAGTGTATACAGGGACTCGCTGAATACATAGGCCTATTATCAACTGTGGGGATTGTTTATTAACCAGGACTGATACACTACTATTTTGGAAGTGACCTATTAATTGTCCATTTAACTAGAATGTATTGAATTCCAATGAAAAAATGGAAACCATGACTAAAGCTTTTACTTGCTCCTTCAAGGTGGTCTCTGCCATGAAGGCAAATGAAGATTGTTCCACAGATTAAGAAGACATTTATCACTATATATTAGGATACGAAGGAAAGACTTTTTTTTTTTAAATAAAAAAAAAAAAAGGCAAAACAAAAACTAAACCAGCAACATAGGAAAGAGTTGGTAACAGATTCACATTTCTGTCAGCAGAGCACTGAACCTTTTGATGCATGTTCAGAGTGACAGACTGCAGGAGAATTGGTGCAGTGTGTGAGCTCCTGCCCATCCCCAGCATCTCAGAATATCCTTTAATTCAGAAACTGAAATATATTTTTTTGCATGCAGAGCCAGAATATATGTTGGAACGTGAGACACCCTTTAGAAAGATCTCTGGGCTTCCTCAAGCTAGAGGATTTTTGCCCTGGTGCTGACTCAAGGGCAGGTCCCTAATGCTTATCTGTGTCCTGCCTGTGATTAAGTTTGCTTTAGTTGGGCACTTACAGTCTGCTGCACTGTGAAGATTCTTCACTATCCCACTGGCCTTACACAGGTTTTAAGCAGGTTTTTTAATTCCTGCATGGGAATTAACTGGAGCCTCAGTGCTGCAGCAGGAGGTTGTTTCTTAGCTGATTGACTGTGAACAACCAGCCAGGCAAGACAAATTTTAAGGGGTCACATAATGTGGCAGTCGCTGTCCTCGGGTGACAGCTCCATTGTGGAGCTTAGGCCCGGCCCTGCTAAACCTCTTTCCCTGCCTCATATCAGCAGGGAAAATGAGAGAAAGTTTCAGTTCAAACTGCTCCGCTCTCAGACTTCACCTTCCAATAATCTGTAAAAAGTCTTAATGATTGATCAGGAACCACCCGGAGACCATCTGGAGAAAGGTCCCTAAGCTGCACGAGAAGGATGGGAGACCTGCTTGAGGAAGAAAGGCAAAGGGAAGTTTGTCCCAGCTCCCTGGGCAGGAAGGGTCTTTGGGGGGCAGCAGTTGCAGCCTGCAGGGAATGTGAGCCCTGCTTGCACAAATGTCCATTTTGGGCTCTGTTCTTCACACAGTCCTTTTTTACTTTTGACAGTCTGTGTCTCACTGTGTGATATGTACCAGAACATTAACCAGTAGGCTATGATTTTTAATACAGTTTCAGATGTTATTTTAGAAGTTGAAATATATTTATATAAGTCTAAATTTCTTTATATTGTAACACTTTAAATAATTATTTATTGCCAGAGGCTGTTATGGGGGCCAGATATGCAGATGAGTTCCTTAAGGTTTAGGAAAATTGGAGGAACACCTGTCTGGCAGGAGCCACTAAATCCTGTGGTCTCTGAATCGGTAGTGTTGGGTGATAGGAAGTGCTTCAGGGAAAGATCATTTTATATTGCTCAGCTTCTGATATTCTTCTGACCATGGCTGGAGAGGACACGTACAGGAGTAATGTTTTAAAGAGCATCATATTTGTTGAACAAGTTCATTTCATTTCCTTCCACTGCCACTACAGCTGACTAGAGCAGGTAGACTTTTCATGAAAATAATGTGTAATCTTTTAGAGAATCTGGGAATTTTGTTGTTGGCGCTGATCCTGAAATGCTGAGCCCCTGGACAGGAGTTGCTTGGCAGTGTTCCCGTGTTCAGGAGGCATCTTGGAGGCAGCTGGGAGGCAGGTGGGTGGGAAGGTGTCCTCAACACCTTTCATCTTTAGAGCCCAAATTGCAGGTGACACAATGGGCTTGGTTTTTCCCATGCTCCATGTGAGGGCAACAAACAGGCACTGTGGATACTCCCAGTTCCTCCACTCTAATTCTGTCCCCTGTCTTTGAGACTGTTACCCGGGGTGGGGGATCTCCAGGAGATCCCTTTCCAGACATGGATCTGGGGGATATGACTGAACTTGCTGCAAACTGTCCTCCCGGGGCTTTCGGTGGGATTAGAGAACAGGCTGAAGGAAATAATTCCAAGTGCTTTCCAAATCCTGTAATAAAGAAATTGCTGCAGTGTCCAGAATAAATAAGTGAATGGCCAGTGATTTTTCTGAGAGAAAGTTCACCCTGACAGGCTTTTCTTTAGAAAACTAAGCTATCTAAAGCCTACTTAGCTCCTTTAAATCTGAGTTACAGACCACATCTATCTGGCACTGTATTTCATACTGAGAGAAACTCCTGGGAAAGCTTGCTGCAGTTTACTTGGTGAGGATAATATGCAAAGGAAAAGGGAGAAGCTTTTCTCTGTCCATACTTGGATTTTACAGTGGAGTGTATAGAGGTCCTGTGTTAATGCTCCTCTATGAACTCATCTGATTTACTTTTTACCATGTCAAGGGGAGGCTTGTGACCACTGACAGCACCTCTAGATTCAGGAGAAGATTTAGTCCTCGCTTAATGTGGCTGAAGTTTCCACACACTTGCAACACCAACAAATCAAAAGCGAGGCACCAGCCTGCTAGCCGTTTAACAGACAACACTTAATATTTCTCTGTGTTAGGTATTATGTGAAACTCTTATCTGTTTCCACTAGGAGAGGAAAGTGTCCTGCCTCTTCTGACCCAGGAGTCTAGCTCAAAAGCCCGGAGAGGTATATTAAGAAGAGCAGTGTTTTCTGAAGACCAGAGGAAGGCTTTGGAGAAGATGTTTCAGAAACAGAAGTACATCAGTAAAACAGACAGGAAGAAACTGGCCATTAACCTGGGTCTAAAGGAGTCACAGGTAAGGAGCAGTGATAGAACATCCATGACTTTCTGTCCTTTTGAAGCAAAAGTCTTTCAAATGGCTTTACAGAGGGAAGATTGCCCAGCCCAGGGGCAGCCCTGAGCACCTTCCCTGAGCAAACGTGCTGGTTGATCAGTGGCAGTTTTAGCCAAGGAGTTCTTGAACAAGGGTCTGTCCCTCGTTTGTTCCCTGAGGAGGTTCATTCCGAAGTGGATGGCTCCGTTTCAGCGCCAAGCGGGAGTAAATGACCTTTGAATTTCGTTTCCAGCTCCCGCTCCTGGTGTGTGGCGCCGGCGCCCTCAGGGGCTCTGGGGAAGCGAGTGGCGCTGAGGGCCGCGCGCGGGGCCCCCTGCCTCCCTTGGCCAACACGGAGCCCACGGAGCCCCCGTGGCCTCCTGCCCCCTGGGCTCTGCAGTCACTCCCAAGGGGCAGCCATCCCTACGGAAACAAGCACAGCTCCATCAGGGAAGGGATCCTCAGACTTGATAGAAACCCTGTGAGCGGGATTTCGCAGGATGACCTTCCAAGAGGCTCCCACTCGCCTTACTAATTTGTATATCATGGGGATTTTCACATGACTCTGACTAGGCCCACTGCAGAGCTCCAGAGCTTAGCTGAGGGCTTAATGCCTCCGGCCAGTTGTTCAGACTGAAAACGTGTTAATGATGATGCCTAGAGGCAGTAGCCAAATCCGGATTCTCAGAGGCCTGAGCTAGCTGCAAATGCAGGCAAGGAAAAAGTGCCTGGCTTGAAGAGTGCAGAATCTTAAGAAAAATGTTTGGGAGGGTGTGCAACAGCAGAAAATGAGCATGGTGGCACCTGGCAGGTGGGATTCTGAAGGTGCAGGAGGAGATGCAGGTCTACAGAGTCCTAAAAGGGGTGAGAGAGTTACAGTGCGGCTGCATTTCTGTGCATGTGGTCAGGGTGAAAGTGCCAAAGAACATCAGAGCTGAAGCGATCTGGTGAGCCAAAAACCTGGGAATGGTAATGGGAGCTCTTGTCATTTTCGTCTTGGAGGTTTTTAGAGCTTGAGAAGGCCTGAAGCAACCTGCTCTAACATGGCACTTCAGTAAGGGGATGGATCTTGTGGGCTGCAGTGGTTCCTTGCAGCGTGAATGAGTCTTTGACTCTGTCTCAAGCACTGCAACCGTAAAGAACAAAATGCAGAATTGTGGCCCTTCTCAGCACAATGAGCACGGCTGTAATTTCTACAGAATAAACTATTTCTTTTTGATGAAAACGTGGAATTGCACTCTCTGGTGAGCTGCCTAAAAATTCCCAGTATATAGTCAAATTCTTAATACTACAGTTATATCCTTGAGCTTTTTTCTGTATTCTCGATATTCGAGAGTGCCCAGGGAAATAAGAAATAATGGAGTGAGACAGAGAGAACAACTAACATTACAGGAAAAATATCTCATGATAATGATAGAACAGATTATGTCCTCCAGAGTTTTTTCTCATAAAGCTCTCATGAGGGTCAGTTCTTAGATATTCTGACTGGTAGGAGCAACATCTGCCGTCTTAGGCTGTGATTCTCCAACCTTTTGCAAGTACAAGAGGGATGTGGAGCTGCTGGAGAGAGTCCAGCGCAGGACTACCAGGATGATCAGGGGCCTGGAACATCTGCCCTATGAGCAAAGGCCGAGGGAGCTGGGCCTGTTCAGCCTGGAGAAGAGGAGGCTGAGGGGGGACCTGATCAGCGTGTATAAATACCTCAAGGGAGACAGTGAGGAGGAGGGGGGCGGCCTCTTTTCAGTGGTGGCCAGTGACAGGACTAGAGGAAACGGCCACAAGCTGAGGCACCAAAAGTTCCAAAGGAACTTGAGAAAACACTTCTTGACAGTGAGGGTGACAGAGCCCTGGCACAGGCTGCCCAGGGAGGTTGTGGAGTCTCCTTCTTTGGAGATCTTCCAAACCCGCTTGGACGCAGCCCTGTGCCACGTGCTCTAGCTGACCCTGCGTGTGCAGGGGGGTTGGCCTAGATGACCTCTGAGGCCCCTTCCAACCTCAAGCATTCTATGATTCTATAACTCTTCATACAAGTATCTTAATAACTGGAATTTCTTAATATAAATGTTTCAAAGAAAAATAAGAAGAATGTGGTCCAAGTAATCTGACTGATTCACCTCCCAACACATTTCTCTAATGTAAAAAGAAGTTCTCAGCTGTGTATTTGCCTGAGTTTTTTTCCATCATGAATGCCTTTGAATTCCCATTTTCAAACTTTGCGATTCACAATTTTTAGAAAATGGGTTTTATTTTAGGAGCATATGGAAAAGAAAAATAAAAAAATGCTGTTAAGACAAAGTTGCTTCAACAAAAGAATAGTAATAAGCTCTCATTAATTTCAAAACAGGTGAAAATTTGGTTTCAGAACCGAAGGATGAAATGGCGAAACTCCAAAGAAAAAGAAGTGCTTTCAAACAGGTGCCTCCAAGAAGAGAGTCTTCAGGAGAACTACCTCTCAAGATCCACCGTGAATTTTCCCTCCCCATGCCCTTCTGTGTGGGAAGTGTCTCAGGAGCAGGCAAGTACAAGGTGGAGGGAGAACTCCCCAGGAACTTCCGAAAGACTCCTTAGCACACAGCCACCTCCAAGAGCAAACTCCTCACAGAGCCCACTCTATCTGTATCCTGACCAAGACACTGCACATAAGGCAGTCACATCGTCAACCTAAGCAAATGAAGAGGCAATTTGCAAACGGAGTGAAGAGCACAGGCTTCAGATGGTGATCTTCTAAGACTAACAGTATTTGGACACTGTAAAGCTAACTAGTTTGTATTTGGACACTGTAAAGCTCACTAGTTTATGCCTCATCAGTTTTCTAAAGCCTAACACCATTAAAATGTCAAACAACTAACGATTTAAGAAATATTCTTGATACTCTGCCTTTTCTTCTGTCTTTTCCAGTCTTATACTGACCTTAAAAGTGAAATAGGAACTGATGGTAGATAAAATGAAGTGAAGAGCATGGAACTGAAATTTTGCTCTGATTTATACATCTGTGCTGTATATAGATATCCATTAAAACATAGAGTGATAGAGACTCACTTTTATCTCTCATTGCAGTCAGACCAATTGACTTGTTTTGCACACAGGAATAACTGTATCTACCCCACGATAATTTGCTTTGGGCGTATTATTGAAATTGATAAAATGACACAATAGGTTCATGTTAGATGAACATAAAAATTTTTAGTATATTTTCTCCATCTGTCTTCACTTATTACCAGTTAGTTCTAAATAGCCTGGCTGCAAGTCAGCCCATTACCATAGTAAAGTTGCATTAGAAGACAAATCAATGAACCAATCTTAATAAAATAACTGGCATTTAAATTACTTTGATTTAAATGAATACTGAGACATGCAATTCCCAGGTCCTTTCTTTACTCCCCTGGATGAAATTTCCAGCATTCGTAACTCTGAATTTCAGTGGCCTTTGTCAGATATTAGTGGAATCTCTTGTATACTGTTCTGTGTCTCAAAATTGTGATGGTGATATGTGGAATTATAACCCAAATGGAACAAGTAACAGAACTATAACTGGACACATTGCCACCATAGCCCTCTTGGAGAAGAACTTGAAGAGAGGCCACGCTGTAGTAGTCTTATCCCTGACTTACTGCTATTTAAGCAGGTGCCAATGAGTGCACATTAGTATATTTCTGTATCAAAGACAGGACAGTATTCTGTGTAATACAAGTAGCCTGAAATCATATTATTAAAATTGCTTTACTTGAAATGCTTTGCTTGCTTCATCCACTCGTTCCCATCTCAAAATGGGAATAGAAAGTGTTTTTTTATCGTTCTTCATTGAATGCATTTGTTGAGGAGAAAGACTGAAACTTTTATGTTACAGGCAAAACCTTTTGAGGAACATTTAGTTTTTTAAAAGATTTTCATTTCTGTCAGACTCTTGTGTTTTATGGCCAGATAAGGTCTCTATGATAATCCAGCCTGGCTCTCCTCATCATGCATGCCATGTTTATAATTACTTGCCTTGAGCTCTGCAGCTTTTTGAAGTGTGTCGTGGTCTTTCAAAAAGCCAAACAATTGTTATTTAAAATTTGGCTTTTGGAAGATGTTCTACTACCTCCCAAATAATGCAACATATCAAGGAAAATAAATTTTAGATTGGCAGCTAAGGAATTTGAGATTGCAGTGACAGAGTTTGTGTGATAACAATCTGCACAATGAGGCAAGGTTTGTATCATTTCTTGTGCATGTCCTGCCTTTATGTGCTCAGCTTTGTAGTCCTCATCTTGCAGTAAGGTCATTCTTTGTACATTCTTAGGCTTTCTTAAAGAAAAAAAGAAAATAAGAAATCCTTTCTTCCTCAAGTTAGAAACCCCTTGTTAGCACAAGCTACCTAGATACCTACCTAGCCTGCGAGGGCTCTTGAGCACCTTAAGTGAGTGTGCTTTACATGCTGTTTACTCATGTGAGCTGAAATTTATTCCTATCCAGCAGTAGAAACCTCAGAAACTGCCCATTTTCTGCACACCTTTTGTGGATAGATACATAGACATACTGCTTATTACACAGAAGGATGAATTTACCTTCTAATTGTCCTGCTGAAATTATAGAGACTGGTCTAACAGAGCAGGACTGTCTGAAGGATTAGCAAGAGTTCGTGGCCCAGATTCATCTGCACCAGCATCTGCTGGCATCTAGCTACGAAGACAAGCATGCAGAGATTTCTAAATTGTCATCGAATGATTAAATAGATTGGGGGATTATTCATTAGGGCTTCAATTCAAAGAAATTTGGAGAGAATTAGTGCACAGTTGGGGCATTTGGGGGGTTTATGGTGTCACCTACCAGGTGTCAGTGTGAAGCCCTGGGTGGGAGAGTTTTCACAGCCCCTGTGTCCTTTTGCTAAGCCTCCTGGTAGATGGTGCTGCTGCAAGCACCACATGTAAGCTGCTGTGAAACTCTGAACTGGTCACGTTTGCAGAACCTTTCACTGAGGCAAAGATTGAGGGAGGCTCATGCAGAATTGGATCCACTGTTGGAATGTTTGACATGTTTTAAACTGAGCAAGTTCTGTTTTCATGGTAGCCTATTTAAAGGAGGACCACTTCATGGCCCTCCAAACCTTTAAGACTTCCTATTTTTTATTTTTCCTGATTTTAATTTCATAGATAGAAAAAAGCTTTGATATGCCAGGTTAAACCTCTCTTTACTTGAAAATGCTGATCCAGCTTTCTTCAAACTCTAGGATAATGAATTCTGAATTATAACTAAAAGAGCATGTTCAATTAGTTCAGACGGACTTAGGCCTGTAACACATAACAAGGCTGATTCTCTCCCTTTTACGTTTTTTAAAAGAGAAATTTCTTTGGTACCAACATACTGTGAAATCTTGGGAAATGAGAAGCAGCACTCGGTATGAACACAGAAAATAGAGACTTTCAGTGCCAGGCTTTTCTGAGCGTGATCAAGTAGTATTTATTAGTTTTCTTCAGTTAATGTATGAACACTAGTTATAAAAGATCAAGGAGAACGCAAATGATACACTGGATCCCCGGTAGGTGTTTGAAGCACTCTGTCATTCACGTTAGAGGGATGTAAGGCATATGATGCCCCTGGGTTGGTATTACAGAGCAACATAAAGGATACTGATGGCATCTTACATTAAAATTGGGCACATACTATTTTGGCTTCAAAGATATGACTTGGTAGATGATCTTGCAGTATAGTTATAGGGTATCTGAGATATCTTTTTATGTATGGCATTTTGAGGCTGTGTAGTTCCAGCCTGCAGAATTTTATGAAGGACATTTGTTGGGATCCTGGGGTTTGGCAGGATTTAGGTGCCTTAAATTGAGAACGGCAACAAAAAGCCAACTGTTCCGTGTGCCATTAACAATGCAGATACTTGCACGTGCTGGGCACTTCTCTGCTTAGTCTGGCAACTTATCAATGCTAATGCAATATAAAATACAGCAGGGAAAGGAAGAAAGCACCAAGAGTCAGTGCTCCCTTTGTTATCCAGGCTGTCCTGCTGACATCCCACCGCTCTTGCTCACAGTGGAGCAGCATCAGTAACAGGAGGAGGTTTTCGCACCCCACCGAGTTGAGATTGCCCAGACTGGTCTGAATGTGGATTTCCAGAATGAGAGGCACATCCTCAGGCACAGCCACAGTCAAGTTTTATTGCCTGTAAATAACTCTGAGACCATGAATGCAAAGAGGGGCAAGGTAGCTTCTCTATGGGCTTCATATAACATTGTTAAAACCTGGATATAATGACCATGTCTGTGTCAACACTTCAACTTTTGTTGTACAGATTTACAAAATACAGTAATTTTCTGAAAATTCTCTTGATTCTCTACCAAACGGGAATTAATCTTGAGGGCCTGTTTAGCAGAACAGGACTACTTTGAGGCTCAGAACTGCATTACTAACTTCAATGTCAGAACAGCAACACAGTGGGCAAATGTCATTCCTTGTCATTCCTTCGCTGCAGTAACACACCAGATTAGCTTTCTTCCCACTGTGATTTACTACTACTACTAGGTTTTAAATGCCAGTTGCCATCACCTTGCCCGTGCTGCTCCTCTGATGAACATCATCTGCTGCACGAAGACTGACATAAATTACATACACGCTTCTGTGCCTTGCATGAACGGTGCCATCACCAACCTTCACACGCTGGAAAGAAACAAATTTAAAGCAACTTGGGTGTAAACTGAGTGCCCTAAAAAAGTTTCAGGGGGAGATGAGGGCCTACCTAACCTAACCCTACCCAACCTAATTTTGAATTTAGTTTAGACCACTGCGGAAAAAGGTTCATATTCTACATGGGCTAATTTGCCATTGACCACACAGGTCAGGTCTACAATAACTGCTCTTCTGAGTTATGTGCCTCACAACTGCTGCTTTTAGAGATGAACCCAGGTATACCTGGATCTAAGGTGTTCCCCATGTAGGTTTGCACCTAATTAGCTGTGGGACAAAAGCCTGCACCTCCCAATACCTGATTTTTCACAGGTGCTGGTTGCAGCTCTAAGCAATGAAGCTGGGTGTGAGGGACAGAGATGTCTCAAGGCAACATTTTGATAGTGAACTCCCAGTATTCACCCAACAGTCACACAAACCTCCAGCCTTTTGTAAACATTCAGTGCTTCAGGAATTCTTAACATTTTTAAGTCAAATTTTCTCTGTGTATCAACATTATAACGTGATGTCAGGTATTTAAATATTTGTGTGTACCAGTCAAAGACAGGTGGTTCTCTGGTTCCTTTTTTTTTTTCCCTAATTTGCTGTGTCATGATTTTAGGTAAACTATAGCAAAATTCTCTTGTAGCTTACCTTTCAGTGAATTCATCATACCAAACCTCAGCACAGACCAGGTGCAGTTTAAATTTAAGATACGTCATTAAAGTCATTTTCTACATTGTGAAAGAAATAAAAGTAATGTTTGGTGAGCGAGAGTGTCTCTCCCATATTCCTCATCATCCTTAAGGAGTGGAAAAAAATAGAACTAGAAAATCCTCTTGTAACATGAGGAAAGTTAGTGGAAATATTTTGTTACAGAACCTGAAATTATGTGATGATTTATCAATCATATATATTGCTATATAGTGCTGTGTGTGAACTGAACAATTAATTGGAAGCAAAAATATTCATTCTGTTTCTTCCTCAATTTGTAGACAAAGTTGTGTCTCCTAAGTTAACCTTAATATTTTCAGAAGCAAATGGTGATATATTCTCACACTTCAAAGCATTTGATCTTCGTGCCCTTTTTACATTTTCAGATATTCGTAGCTAGTTTCGCTGCTGCCTTGAAGAAAAATCATGCAGATGATGAACTCTTCCCTTGTGCAAAAAGCAGCCTCCTGTGATAGATCTATTTGAGGCATCAGCCACCAAAGAGAAAACCCTGCCCTTTTCAACCGAGTCTTAAATTGTTTTCTCAATCAAAAGAGGATGTGATGCATTGTGGCTTTTGTTACCCACATGCCTCATTTTAGCCATAGGTAAATAATGGAATGCCATACTCATTTGTGATGCTAACCTAATATGAATTATTATGTATATTTTGCTGCACTATTTTTCTTTCTGCAGCATCCACTCTTATCATCTTCTGTATTTTTATATTTCTCTACAACTATTTCGAGAGTTTTGCCCTTACAAATATAGAAATACAGAATTATTTTTCTGAGCTGCTTCCTCTATGCTTTTCACCCGACAGTAAGCTGCCACCGCTGGAGGATCTTCCAAACTAAGATCCTCACTTCCTTCGATCCTTGTGTTTCCAGTGGCTGTGCTGGGATGCACCTGGGCCTGGGCTTGGAGTGTTACCATGGCGATCTCCAGCCCTTCCCTTCTGAGGGAAAATCCCCACACAGGTGCTGTGCATCACCCTACCAGAACGTGTCTCATGGCCAGTGTAGAGCATGAGGTCCCCTCTGGACACCGCAGGAGTGGATTTACTGCAGACTCTACGCAGCAGGTACTTCAGCAGCCCAAATCTAGGCTGGCAATAGATGTTAAACGTGGGTTTTTACATTCCAGCGGTTCTGGCACCACTGCTATCTGGCGTGTTAATACTGGGCCCAGGCTTGGAGCTGGGAGTTGGGGCTTGGAGATGGGGCTTGGAGACCACTCCCGGGTGGCAGCACTGAAGCTTCCTGGTCCCCACCACCCATGGATCAGTCTCTCCAGCCACCAGGGTGCCCCACAGCACCAGGGCCTCTCTTCCAGCATAAGGAAACACCCTGGCAGCCCATGCCAGGGCCTCATGAAACGCCGTAGCCCCATGGGCCCCAAGCCCCACATGAAGGAACCAGGTCCCCGCAGCTCCCAGCCTCCCTGCACTCCCATGCCCCTCCTCTCTCATCCTCACCCTCGTCCCCTCCGCTTCCCTCTGCCTTCATCTTCACCCACTCCGTTTCCCTCTCCTCTTCCCTCATGCCCATCCTTGCCCCTCCGTTTCCTCTTCCTTCCCTCATCCCCACTCCATGCCTTTCCCTCTCCCTCATCCCACTCCTTTTCCTCAGCCCCACTGTGTACCTTGCCCCATCCCCCTCCCTCATATCCACCATTTCCCACCCCAGGCTGCTCCAACACGGAGCTGAGGGGCCACCAGCCATGGAGGGGACGGTCAGCCCGGGTTGGAGCAGCACCAGCTTCCCCAGCCCTCTGCCCTCCTCTTCCCCAGTCTCCCACTGGGCCAGCTGGAGACTCTCCTTCATGTGGGTTATTTGGTTTCCAGATTTTTTTCAGAATTTTCTTATTAATTATGACATTTTATTACCTGTACAGAGTATCTGACTATCTAAAAAGTTATAATGGACAACTCTTCTGGTCAGGAACATCTCAGTGTGTTTCCACCGTCCCCAGCACAGTGAGCAGATGTGAACCTCACAGCTTCTAGCTGAAAAAGGATGTTTACTGGGCCAGTAGAAATGGAGAGACAAGTGGCAAAGCTGTTCCTTTGGTCCTCCTCGGTCCTGCACAAGGTTTTGTTTGAAATGCTTTCCTGTCCCTCAGTTTCTCAAGCTCAAATCCTGCATCAATATTAAATAATCATCAGCAATTTTGTCCTCTATCCTTGGCAACCTGAGTTCCAGCAACTGCTCACAGTCAATACGAGGAGTAGCAGAGGCCAGAAAAGAGCATTAGTTAAGTTTCCTCACAGTAAATGTGTAGCTGCATCCTACCCTGGCCACAGACTTGCAAATGAAAATACTGTGGAGAAATTTTTCAGTAGTCTAACACATGCACAACTGCCAGGGTCAACTAATTAAGAGTATTAGAAGTATTAAAAATAAATCCATGACAATTAAAGATGCTTGGGAGGAGTGACAGATCAGAGGGCTGTGCTGCTATTCGGAGGGACCTGGACAAGGAGAAACAGGCAGAGGGGAACCTCACGAGGAGCAGCCTCTCCCATAAAGAAGTTATTGCACCTGGGAAGCAGTAACCGCACACATTGGGAGATATTTTTTTGAATTGGAGTATCTACGGGAGTCCTGCTAGAGAACAGTTTGAATGTGGGCCAGCAATGTGCCCAAAGGCAGCCAGTGGTATCCTGGGCTGCATTAGGAAGAGCTCTTCACTTAAAGAGTTTACAGTGAAATTACTGATGCTATTACAGGTATAAAATCCCCTCAACACAAATAGAAGTGCTAAAAGTTCAGATCTCATCAGATGCATGCAAAAGCCTGCAGAGATAAGTGAAAAGCATGACATGAACATCATGCAAGTGTACCTCAGGGCCTGCAGTGACATGGACTGACCAACAGCAGTGCCACCTCCCAGTGCCAGGCATTCTGTAAGCAATAAATAGATGTAGAATAGAATAATCGAATAAATAGATGCATAAACAGATGTAACATAAAATATACTTTATTTATAGTATATAGATGTATTTTACCAAGGTTTACAAACTAAATTTCACTTTCAACTATGTACATACTTAAACTGTCTCAACCCACCATACTGTAATTTGTCAGAGTGTAATATGCAAAGAGACTGATTTACCTACTGGTAGAGTGCTCTGTTTTATCTGGTATATTTATCCACATGCACACAGTATGTTTTATTTAATATCTCAACCATAGAGGTTAACAGTGTGAAGTAGCTGCCAAAGCATTTCAAAACCACTTTCCTATTAATAATTACTATAAATGTCATATTTTATAAATTATACTTTCCCATTTTTTACAAACATGTAATTCTGCTCCTGAAATTCCCTGAGAAGAGATTAAAGCTCAACAACTATTTTCTGGCATAATTCTACATTTAAGAATTTTTAAGTAGCTTTGTACTTTATTGGAGTCTCTCCTGAAACAATGAATAAAGTCAGAGTCACTCATCAGGTTTGCTTCATTACTAATGGATAAGCCAGCTGCTTCAGACGATGCCATTCCATTTAATGAATTGCTGATGATCCCCATTGACTGCATCTGTATGGGAAACAGGAAAACTGTACATAGACTTTTATGAGTATAAACCAGTTAGACAAATAACTACTACTATACACAGGGGAGAAAAAAGTAAAATACTAGTGCTGAAGTCAACTGATGCATCACTCTGTTAGGTAGTTCTACTCCATACATTTAATGTGCACACAGAGGAGACGTACAGCTCCTTACAGGGAGATAATATTGTATTTCCTTTCAAAAAATTGCCTACATGATCTGAAGATTAGTCTAAAATAATCCAATATGCTACTAACCCTAGTAGAATATCAGACTCACCTTCACAAATATAAAACTATTTGAATTTAAGTAGGAACCAATGCTTGATAACAGGTATTTCCTTTCAAAGTAATAGAACATGTCAGTCTCTAGGCTCGCAGCCACTTATAATGAGTTTTGTCAAGGGAAGCTTCTAATGTGAGCATTGGCCAGTGATGTTTAACCTGTGGACTCTGAAGACTACTACCACCTCTCAGGAGTGCTGGCTTCACAACCGGATCAAGCTTTGAACTGCTGCTTACAGCACAATGCAGCTGCAAAATACTGGAGTACAGATTGCTCCCATTTGATGTTGTTTGCATCACTTTTTTATTGCACTTCTACTGTGTGATATGTCCATAGTACATATAGGTCAAGATGGACATATGTGCCAAACTTCGGAGAGCCTTCCTTTTTAGTAATACCTCAAATGGCATTTTAAGGAAAGAAAAGACAAAAACAAAAAACCCACAAGATAACCCCCACTTAGTTTAAAATTTTATGACTGGCTTGAGCTCTATAATGAAGAGAACAAAGGTCAGCCTCAACTGATGCCACTGCTTCTTGAGGAACTTATCCATAAAATTGTTGCATTGCAGCAGAGAGCAATATGTGAGTTAGTTGGATTGTGAACCAAAAAAAATGAAAACAATAAATATTTGTCATGGTCTATCCACATCTCCTTTACCATTTTAGAAATCTAAGTCCATACTGACTAATCTATAAAGCTATAAATGGTCCTACTCTCTGCACTTTCATACATTTCATATCAATAGAATATTAATGTGAGCTACATTTCTGTCTCACTCCAAAGATAAGTCATAGCCTGTGGCTCAACAGTTACTGGATCTGCAATAGTCAGCTGTATTTTGTCAGCATGACTTTGTCCTGGACTCAAGGAACACAGAAGAGTGGAAGAATCCTGTTTTTTAATACAGAACTTTTCAAATGGATCGTGGTGTTAAACAGTTTGAGTAAGAGCTGCCAGGCTTAAGCCTTATTGCCGAATTGGAGCCTCAGTTCATATTCAGGTTGTAGCCTAAGCGAGAGCAGACCCAGAAGTCCCTGATGCCACAAAATCATGACTGGTGTGAATAGAAGCTACATGGAAAAGCTTGCCTTTTCTGTTACTTTCTCAACTCCCGTCTTCAGCTCATGTACCATATTGCTGATTTGCTTAGCTTTGCTAAGGCTGTCATCAGATAACTCTTGATGGTGCTCAATATGCTGGTTAAAGTGAGAGAGTGGTTCCTTCCAGGCTTGCAAAAGTTTCAGTATCAAGTGTGTTAGTTCTTCTCTCTTATAAATTAAAACAATAAAGATTTTTCTGTTAGTTTGCAGGTCACATGAATGCTGTTGGACATTCTCACTGAAATTTAGGTAGGCTTAAGATTTGTCTGGGAAATTCCATGGTTTCCAGACCTTGAGGGGCACTCAGTGTCTATTATTTGCTTAGATATAAGAAAGGGAAACACCAAGTTTTCACATCACTTCTCAGCTTAGACTCTACACTCCGTAATACCTAGAACTGGAACACAGCATTAGCAAAATGGTGGCACTCCTGTTAAAGTTATTTTCTCCTGAAGTTTCCAATAACTCCTGGGTGTCTCATGAACCCCAGGAAGCTCATGTAGACTTTCAGGTTTACTGGTGTGGAAGTGCAGGCACTTCCTCACCGCGGCAGTGGTTGCGGCTCTGTCAGCGACACTCTCACTGCAGACACTTCTAGAGGGATGGTTGTTTCTCCAGGAGAAACGAGATGGCCATAAGGGCTTGCTCTCTCACAGGGGAAGCTCAGGAATAGAGTTGAAAGGCTAGACCTTTCTACAACAGATAAGACTTGCTTTCCCATCACCCTTCAAGGTGAGCCTATGAACATCTTGGGCAAAGTCATCCATACCCACACAACTGACAAAATAACATTTGTCCAAGTTTGTCTCCTGGAGGCAGGGGCTTCTGCTGCTGTATCCTCCGCTCTGTGGAGCCTGCTTCTCCTCTGCCCTAGAAGCTCTTGCTTCTTTCCCCTACACCAGTTTGGGTCTTCCCCTTTGCCATGACACGTCTAAAGCAGCCCTCTGTTCTCTCCCTCTACCCAGCTACAGGTTCAAAGCAATAATTCCTGCTGTGCGCTTCTCCCGAGGGCCTTTCCTGGCTTGCAGTGGAGGAGCTCACCCACACCTACCTGTCGTGCACCCTTTGCTGAGGATGCGTTTCCTGGGGGCTGCTACACGAGCTCGGGGGGATTCCTGGCTGCCCAAACACCAGGGCAGCTGCCACCATCAACCAGGGGCCTGTGGCCCTGTTTATCCCTGGTAAACAGGACCGAGTTGTGATGCCCTGCCTCAGGTCACTCCTTGCAGCTACCTCACTCCAACCCTGTTGGGGCACACCACAGGCACAGACCACCCCTGGGCACTTTCGGGTGAGCCCTTTGGGGCCCAGCTGGAGGCTGGCAGTTGGACAGGGGGGATTTTTGCTTTTCCTTGACCATAGGCAGTGCAGGGGGAACCCGTGGGAGAGCCCGTCCCGCGCCGAGCCCGGCCTTACCGGCAGGTTTTGGGCCAGCTCCTTGCCTTTGGGGGTTGCCATCCGCGACGTGTGGCACTTCCGCGCCGGCCGCCCCAGCTCGTTCCCACGGGGCGGGAAGTGCTTTTCCTGCGGGGAAGCAGAGCTGGCGCAATCCCAGGCGCAGCCCCCACGAGGGGCAGCGCCGCGCTGGCCCCAGACCCCCGTCCCGGCGGAGCGGGGCCGGCGGGGCGCTCACCAGCTCGGCGTGGATCCTGCCCGAGTGCCGGATCACGCGGTCGAAGAGGTCGGAGACGGAGAGGAGGCGGCAGCCCGTGTCCCCCGGGGGGCAGGCGGCCCGCGCCGCCGCCCGCGACACCAGCCACAGCAGCCACAGCGCCGCCGCACCTGCGGGCGACCCTCGCTCTCTGTCTGTCTATCCATGCATCCCTCCATCCGTCCATGCATCCCTCCATGCATCCGCCCGCCGGTCCCTCCCGGCCCGCTTGGCGCCCCGCTCACCTGCGCGGGCCATGGCGGAGCGGGGGCGGCTGGGGCCGGCCCCGCGCCCTGCCCGCTATATAGGCCGGGCCGGGGCCGGGCCGGGCCGGGCCGGGGGTCCCGCTCCGCCCCTGCCGCGCGGAGCCGCCTCCGCAGCCGCGGGGCCCGGCGGCGCCGCCTCCCCCCAGCCCCGGCACTGGCGCCCCCCAAACCTTTCCTCGGACTGACCCCCACCCCCTCCCGGCTGCCCCCCAGCTGTCCCAGACTCCCACCCCACGGACACCCCTCCTCCTTGGCGGCCGCGTTTGTCCTGGCTCTGCAGCCCGGCTCCCGCTGCAGGTGCCACCCACGGGTGTCCTGAGTGCGAGGTGGCAGCTCCTTGGCCGTGGGGCAGGTCTGGCCGGACCTCTGCCCTCCTGCCACTGCAGTGGGGCAGCGCAGGGTGTGGGGACGGGGAAACTGGTGTGTGTGACACACCGTGTGTGTGACAAGGACAGCAGCGGGACAGGCGCCTGCCGTGGGACAGGGGCTTGCCCTGGTGCTGTGGGATGGTCCCCCTGTCACCAGATGTTGAGGGTCGGACTGGCTTTGCCCACCAGGACCACCCCAGGCCCCACAGCGGGCAAGTGCGTGATTCACCAGGTAAACGTGCTGGTGGCCGCTGGCAGCTTAGCCCATTGGGCTAAAACACTAAGGGACTAGTGTGGCAAAGCACTTAGAGCGGCGTTTGCAAAGGGCTGCCCGTCCTGCGGGTTCCGTCGCTGTCCTTAAATCCCGTGTGAAGCACTGGGCAGCCCCATAAGGAGGGCTGGGGAGTTGGGCATGAGGCTTTTGGCTGCTGCAGGCTCCTGCCCTTCTTGCTGAAGACGTTTCGCTGCAAGGAAAGCAATGCCTTAGAAATCAGGAAACGTTTCACATGCAGTTATCAGTGAGGACAGTGTATGTCCTCACGTGACTACAACCACCATTACAGTAAAGTCATGATTTACTTTATGGAAAAAGGAACAACCACCCCTCCTCCAGAATGATGAATGATGCCCCTCTCCCCTGCGTGGAGAGGGTAGCTTTGTGATCAGGAAACCCTCTTTGGAGGTGGGAGATGTGGGTTGGAGGAGCTTTCAGCCAAGGAGGAATTGTGCAGATATTTTGTGTAGAGGCTTATATTTTGTGTAGAGGCTAAAAAAAGCTGTTAGAAAATGAATAGAGGCAGACAAATCTTAAACGTTGCTGTTATCTGCCACTGCATTCAGCATGGAGATCCAAAGAACCATTTTTTTTTGGAGAACATAAACTTCTGCAAGGAGAGCAGTATCACTTTCTGGGCTCCGAGTAAGTGTATGCTTGGCTGTTAACAGAGCTCCAAGTCCTATTAAAGCTAAAGCTGACACAACTGGGGTCTTGCACAGACACTAAATTTTGAGAGGTGAAGACCTTTTAGTGGTAAGAACCAAAAGCCCTTTAGGTGCCACCATTTGACTGGTTTTGCTCCCATCCCAGGTCCTGTTTTCCGTGTTTACATCCTACCCTTTAAGGACATATCTAAGTCCCTATAAGTCCTATAAGGCTAGGGACTTGACTCTTCACTAACAAGATAGAGATTTAAGTTGAGTAGAAAGAGATTTAGATTTCTTTTTGATTAAAACATGCTTGGAAAGATTGCACGTGAGAGAACACATTCACATGTTTTCCTCACACAATCTGTACTGCTTTCATTCATGCAGCCCTCTCAAAGGCAGGTTACTTCTCTCTGAGAAATACCTACAAATTTTGGGTTGTTCCCAAGACTTGTCTTTTCCATGGAGCACAGATTTAGCTGAATTGGATGCCAAATCTTCCAGAATTTACATTTTTCTAGACTCTATTTAGTATAAGGGAATATCAGAACACTTGCTCCTGATCTAGTCTACATGCCTCCGAGGCTGAACTGGCTACACAGCTTAACTAGCCTTTCAGACCAATATCTCTGAAATCAACAGATCAAACTTATTTCTCCAAGTCACTTATAAACATTTTATAGAGTCACAGGTCCCTAAGATACTTCTTACGTCTACTTTTTTTTTGAATTCCAAAATTTACTTTTTAGAGTAGTTCGTTAAAATCTGCTTAATGAGCTACACTATTCAGTAGAGGTTGTTCTAATTTTCTTACTTCTATATCTCAAATGAATAAAACTGAATGCCATTGATTTAAGTGGCTATAGTCAGTGAGAGTTGCCAGTTCCTAATGGGAATCATACAGGAAGCCTTGGCAGTAGCTATGAGCCCTTTGGTAGCTGATAAGATACTTGGAGTATTAGTATCTAGTGGCTATCAGAAAATGAATGATGATGCAAGAGTAAGCAAGAGTATCAATGGCCTGTTTTTACTGGCTAAGAGACTTCTTTTTCTCTTGGCTTGGTGAATCCAACAGTGTCTCTTGACACTGGTGAATCCAACTGTTGTGAATCTGCCCTACCTTGCACCGGTGAGGCCTCAGCTATGATACTGTGTGCGGTGCTGGGCATCTCGTTTCAAGAAAGATATTGGCCAAATGGAGCCCTGAGGAGAACAACAAGAATGATCAAAGGTTAAAAAAACCTCATGGACAGCAAGGAAAGACTGAAGGAGCAGGGTTGTTTGCTCGATAGCAGGGAAAGATGAGCGACATACAGTTTTCAAATATGCAGAAGGCAGCAGCAAAGAAGAGAAGCAGTTATTCACCACATTCGTTGCAGATACAAGATATAACAGGATTAAACTGAAGTAAGGGAGATTTAAATTGGACATTAGACAAAACTTCTTAATGGTTAGAAGAGTTGAGGAATGGAACAGAGGACACTGTGAAATCTCCATCATTATCTAACCTTTAAGTTATCTAAACTTTCAGACAGTTTTCAGACCGCAGCAATGGGGTTCATGGTGTCACGGGCAGGAGGGCGAGCAGGGGTGTCTGACCTCCTCCCTTCCAGCCTTCTGCAGTTCTCTAATGCAAGGCCAGCTGCAGTTCATTATACATTTAAAATCCCTCCTAAAGTTACAGCACGAAGGAGTACAAGTGAAATGAAAAGATTTGTATCAACCAAACACTCTGTGCTGCTGCTTGCCCTTTCCCTGTAACATAGCAACATGTACATTTTGCAGCCCAGGAAGGGGCAAGTCAAACTCTTTAGCTCTGAAAACTCTTAAATAAAATAATATGGAAATTATGAAGCCTGGATCTGAGAATGAAAGAAGACCTGTCAACCCACCTGAAGGAGAAAGCCATTTTCTCAAGGCTAGAATACAGGTCTATGTTTTTTTTTTTTTTTCCTTTTGCTTCTCCTGGCTTTTTCTTTGTGAGGAAAAGATGTACTTATGCTAGATACATCAACAGAGTCATAGGAGAGATTTGTAAATATGCCTGCCTCTGTCTGCCCTAGACTTTTCAGAAAACCTGCAACATGCCTCAGTAGCCTACTAAGACCCTGCTTTTCTGTCGTGCGGGGCATTTTGCCAAAGTCTCTTGCCTGGGACTCATGCTCAGCAAACTCAGCACACAAGCACGTGCACATGTGCACTGTTTACACGCTGGGTGAGGCCAGTGGCTTTCCTTGAAACCTTTAAAGACCTTCCTTAAAGAAAGTCCATAAAGATTTTCATATATACTTTGCCACAGCTTTCTTCAAACTGTTCTGGAATAGAAAAAGCCTAAACATGGGATCAGTGCCATCGCTTTTGTGATTCGGGTCTGAAGGTCAAATGGTCTTACTGCCCAAGTGAATAGGTTGTTCTGATATTGATGTTTGGCTTTTGAAGAACACAGTCAATTTGTCAATCAGTTTTCCTCATACTGTCTGTTTTAACCTCTGCATGTTTTCTTTTCTGTTTTATCTGTTTTCTTTTTTTTCTCACTCTGAACTTTGCTCTTCTTCCTCTCCTGTCTTGAAAGGAGCTGTAGCTGCCACTCTGAATTCACGTACTAGCATTTCCTAAACTCACTGATTTTGTCTTTGGGATCCCTTTTTTTTCCCCCTTTTTCCCATAGCCATTTGCATTTGTCCTCAGTGATTTCACCTTCCACCTAAATAGGCATAAAATTTGCCTTTTGATTAGGTAATACTGTTGTTGAAAATCCAAAGACATAGTCAATGCAAGGGAGGTAGGAATAAGTTGTTGTTTTCATTGGGTTGATATAGCTGGTAAGAAAATGGAAGTAAGACCTTTTTCAGTGTAGATCTGAAAATGTGTCTGTTTTGCCAACTGTGTTTTTTCTTTTAATATAATTCTATCTGCAAGCCTTGTCTTGCTCTGGTTATGTGTTTCTTGCATTTATAGCTCTGGCTCAATTTACTCTGCCACAGAAAGGCCACTTCATATTCTCTTCATCAAAGACTTTGATCCCTGCATTAGCGAGCATCTCCTCGTTGATCATCACCCAGGAAAGAGCCTTTTCTTGACTTCCAGTTGATCATGTCCATGAATTATCTACTCTAAGGCTCCTTCTGCTAGCCTCTGATGTGACCATTCTTAATTTGCCTCTATCTTGAGCCCTTCTCACCCAGGATGGACTTCTCTGTCCACCCTGCTCCTGCCACACTCCCTACATCTGCTTCTTCTGCTTTTCTCTAGAGTGCAACTAGTGGACGTTCTACAATTGACTTTCTACAGCACAGACTCCTGTTTTTCTGCCTTTTTTTTCTAACTAAACAGTACCCTTGCCAATTTAAACCAGTCTCACTCTCAGTAACTCTCAGCTTTCAATTTCCAAGGTTCTCTTTTCAGACTTCCCTCTCTTGTGACCTCTTTATAGCATAGATAGTAGTAGATTGGATCTTTGCAGTCTCCTCCAGAAGTTCAGCAGAAGGATTCTTCATTTACCTTCATTTCCATTTCTCCTGTTAGAGACCTTCTTGCCCCAGTGTAATCACTACCATCTGTCTTTCTTCACTTCCTGCTCTTGCTTTCTAGTGCCCTGACTTCTCGTGGTAGAAGCATTCTCTGGTCTCTCCCGTCCTGCCCAAGTAATCCTCCTTGACACTATTTGTCTCTCTGGGTGAAATCCTTGTCCCTTATCCCT